TAGCTCTTACTGTAATTAGCTAAGTATTCCCCCAAAATGTATAGGTGGCTAGTAATATGACATTGTAAATGACTTAAAAAATATAGTAGCATGGGTTACTTTTTATTCTTTGCATAGCATTATTAAATTGAAAGCAAATTTATAATTATAGAGAAAATGGATACATTTCTGTTCCAAATTCAGTGGCCAAATTCTTCCTCTTGTTTATCTATTCAAGATAGAGAAGCAATATGCTGCTTACAAGGATATTCAGAAGCAATTCTACTAAAGATCAGGATAATGACCATCACACTATCTTTTAAAATAATTCCTCATTTTTTGCCTCAGAAGATTTTGTAACTTTTTCAATATGGCCTTATCATCATATTATATGATGACAAAAATACCATTTGCCTTTATTAGTAGAATGCACAAAACATGTGTAGTTATTTGCAATGGTTTGCATGTTTTTTGACATGTTGTGCCATGGTACTTTTTAAACTGGTCTATTAGTTAAAAGAAAAATAGGAGTGATCACAGGCTGGACATCTCTAGTATTCTTCCTGGTGTGCTGAGCATAGCTGCTGTAAACAGGTTAAGATGGTACAGTGAAACACTGGGATGCCAGGCTAGATGTTCCACAGCTGAGATCTGGAAAGATGAGCTGTTCATCATTTGGCTTTGCAGGTTTCTGTTGTTCAGAGCTGTAAAGCACAAGGTGATGACAGTAAATTAGCTCAGCTGCTTGTATTTGTTGTTTAGGAACGACTGGGACCCTCCTGACAGAAAGGTAGACACTCGCAAGTTTCGCTCTGAACCAAGAAGTATTTTTGAGTATGAGCCGGGAAAGTCATCGATCCTGGAGCACGAAAGACCGGTAAGGCACATAAATGAAATGGGTAAGACAGTGAGAGGTTTGGTAAGAGTTTATCTTTTGAATATTTACAATTAATAGTAACTACTTAGAGTAATACTGAAAATCCTTTTTCAAATACAATTTTGCAACAATTTGTCTTTTCTCTTACCTGATGGTTGTACTGAAAAATTGGGTTTGGCTTATTTGCTGAACTTACATCTTCCAGTGTTTCCAAGAAATCACCACCGTGCAAACCTCATGGGTGATAGGCAGAACAGATGGAAACTCCTTTTTCTAATTGGTAGCATCTACAGCACTTATTTTCAGTAGTATTAGCAGCACATATGATATCTGATTAATTAATGCATAAAAATAAAGTACTTGCATTTTCAGGATGTGCTGAATTGTCTGTCTGAGGAGGTTTTGGTCCAATACTGGCCAAGGCTGCCCAGGCAGGACTTGCCTGAATACAGCCATGAGCAACCTGATGTGATCAGACCTATGTTTAGCAGGAGGTTGGGCTAGATGACCTCTGGGGGTCCTTTCCAGCCTCAAATCCTCTGATTTGAGTGAGTGTACATTATGAATGAGTGTACATTAACATGTAATTAGAAGTCATTATTCCTGCTTTCTGAATAACGATAGCAATTGTGGAATAAAGCTATGCTTAATGCTTGCAAAATGACAATTAACAGAAGTTTTCATTTGCTGAAAGATACATTCACCCAGCCCTTCTAATTTAGCTTTGTGCTATCTTAACACTTTCTTATTTTAGGAAAGCTGTTATGTATCAATGGCAGTATTTTCTTTTCTTGGTCTTTTACTTTGAGGTTGAAATGTTTGAGGGAGTCCAGTTTTAAATAAGACGTTTATGTAATCAGTACTGGATTATTATTTGCTTCTGTATTACATGCTTGTTCACAGAATTTATTTTGCCAATTTAAGCAAATTAAGGAAATAACTGAATTTTACAATATGCAATAGGGTGAAACACCTGAACCAAGCACCTTTTCTTTGGTGTTTGTGGTCTTTGCAGGAATCTAATTTTTTGTTATCCAGAAAACACAAAGCTCTTTTTCTGTGAAATTCAGTTCTTGCAGAACTGATGTGTTTTTCAAAGAGGAAATTGGCATTTCTGTAGGAACTGGTAATGAACCAATATAATTAGTATCTGAGTGCAGATGGACTTAACAAATAATTTTATTTAAAAGGCAGTTTCATTTGTCCTGCGTACTTTTTGCATGCCATGACTGCATTATAAACACTGATGTGATTTTCCAGCCTTCCAAATGCCAAAGAGTAATAGCAGATTCAAATTAAAAATAAGAAAATTGCACTGATTTCAGTGTATTCCAAGAATGGCCTCACTTTTCTAATGAATTACATTTTCTGCTGATGTAATGTGAACAAAAATAATTCATGTAACAATTACAGTGCTGATGAATATTGTCAGAGCTACATTTTTTTCAATTCTAGCAAACTAATGAAACAGAAAAACATAAAAGTGAGATTTGCTAACTGTTCCTGAATCCTTTTTTCCACTTGCTTATGCATTTTATTTTTGCTAATCTAAAACAAGAGATGGAATTCTGAGCTCTGTTTGGTGCTTAAAATATTTTCATGCAGAAAAGCTTTGGTCATGTTGTACCTACTGTGCAATAGCCATTAAGGGTAAGGTCATCGTGTCATCTGAAGTTTAGACTAAAAGTTTAGGCTTAGCTGGCGTACATACAAAGGACCATCTCATTGTATAAGAAATTTTTAAAGCTGTGAAAAGTACATTCATGTGCAGAATTGAGAGATTTTTTGTTTATGTATGATTCAGAGCTGTAAAAAATGGGAAATTTTTATGACGAAAGTTGTGCTGATGCTAATGTAACATTAGTTGAAAATCACAATTTCATCAATCTTGAATGTCTACTGTTGATAAAGATGCTATTTAGCTTTATGTAACTAAGATACTTTCTTTGGGCCATGTTAGTAACAGAAAATTAACTGGTTTCACTGAAGTATTTACTTTCCTTGTGGGGTATAGAAAGTAAAACTAACTTCTTAAAGGATGATCAGCAAAGCAGGTCAAAACCTCTTTTCATTGTGAGTAGGAAAAGCTAACATCTGAAAACAATGCATTGATTCCAAATTCAGATGAAAACTACAAATTCTCAAATGTGTCAGTACTGCATGAATTAAATCTTCGGCTTGATAATGTCAAAAGATTTGATTTCTAATGTCTGAAAAATTGTTTTCATGATACTGAAGGAAAGTATTAATAAAAATGTGAATATAAAATAAATGCAGTAAATTAATATTGCAAAATATGGACATTTATGGTGTCTGAACTAGAAAGTCATACTTTATTAGTTTTGTCAAAGCCAAAAAATTCAAAGGAAATTTTTCTAACACTACAAATCCCCATTTTTAAAAAAATTAAATAATTTCCATGATTATAAGATTGCCGTTTTGATGGCAAAGTAATTGTTAAAAATATAAAATATTTACAGCTAATTTGTATCATAATAAGCAGGACAAGACAGACTTGACAGATGAGCATTCCCTTTATTGGTGTAGGCAGTAGATTGGAATCAGTAGTGATTAATGTGGAGATGAGAACATGGGAAGAATAAAAGAGATTGAGATTCAGATTCAGTGTAAAGCAATCATTTAGTGGGAAATACTATTCAGCAGATCCTCACTGATCAAAAGAAGATCTGCATTAATCAAAACAATGTGAGAAATAATAAACTAAAATATTGACCTAGTAACAAAGATTAAATGGATAGATTGGTTCGGGATAACTGATTATCTTTGTGCAGAAGGATGAGTGTAGTTTCAAACTGCTGTATCATGTAGTAGCCTCTGCCATGAAACAGGAAATTAATGTGTTTTCTTCCATAATTTGGATTTGTAAGAGTATAAAACATCAGCAAAAATGAGAGGCTTTGGATTAGTATTTTGAGATTACAGTAAAAGTGTGCAATACGAAGGTGATAAATACTCTTACAAGACACAGTGATACAGCTCCTTTTTTTCCTATTTCGAGATGCCACTGATAAAGTGGTACATAAGTTGTTTTGATGTATGTTTCCATTTCCAGTGCCTGCAATTCAACTAAATATTCCTCTTTTTCTTCAATATCTTCAAAACAATGGACTTGTTTCCTAAAATGGATGTTTACTTTCCATTAATAAGTAAATGGCAATGTAACAACTTAATCTTACTCACGTGTAAATGAAATTAAATTTTATTCTGTACTAGTTTCTACATTGTATATATGAGAAGCAATTCCTCCATACTTGTACATATATCTATTTCTGCAGTAGAGTATGTAAGGAAAAATCTCAGTGTTACTGTAAAAAAAGACCTCATAAAATTGGTACAAGCAATGCCTCTATTTTCATTAGTTGTTTTACTCGAAGCATAAAAGTATACCATGTGCTAGTCAAATAAAACTGTGAGGTTAAATTTTAGTTCTAGATTTTTTAATCTCTGTTGAACACACAAATTTTCTACTGAGTTTATATGCAAGAGGAATTCATGATTAGAATAATTTTTTTTTAAATCACTGTTTTGTCAAATACCAGAAATAGACTGGGCTTGTTCCATGATGTACATCTGTTGTTTTTCATTTGGTTTGGTTTTTAGTGTTGTGAAAAATTTAAAATTTTCTTTAGAACATGCACATTTGGTTGCTTTTGACATCTCAATCTGGTTATCTGAATATTCTGCTTGGTATTCTTAATATGTCATTAAAAAATATTTATTCTCATAAAGAAATAGACTAAGTCCATCTGGTTGTAGACTTGTAGTTACCACAGCTATTTAAAACTAGCCCAAAAGCAGGAAAAAAAAAAAAAAAAAAAAAAAAAAAGGAAAAGTGAAAGAAAATTCTTTAGAGATAATAAAAATGCCAAAGCCAAATTTACAACAGACATCTCAGCCCACTATTCCCGACAGGCTTCAGTTTGGTGTCTGAACTTGCAAATGCAAAATATTGATCTACATTTAACTCATGAGAGATAATGCACAGTTTAAATGCACAGTTTTGATTATTACCAGTGGGTTCTATTTGTATATCAAACCAAGAACAGGCAAAGCTACATGTAAAACTGCAGATGTAATTTTTTTTCATTGTCCTTGTTCTATACTTGAGTATGCTGATTCAATGTTGTGTTGACCATCTGGTGCAAAAGGAGTGAAGTTAGACTTATTAAAGACTTAGTGGTCTTTAATAGCATATTTTCAACAAATAATCAAAATATTACTAAATTTCTAGATGAAGGATAGATTGCAGGTACATTAGTTGACTGGCACATCATAAAAAGGGATTTTCCTTTATTGCTTTTACTTTCTATTCCACTAGTTTGGGAGATACTTTGTGAGACTATGCCAAGTGCAGCTTTTAAGGCAAAATGATTCATTCATTTTAAGTCTCTTAGAAGGGGAGATAATAGAAAAAGCTCTGTCAGCAAAACTGAATCCAAAAGCCCAGCAAAATCAATTGCCTGTGTATTGATCTTGGTAGAACAGGGAATGCAGTCGTCTCCAGAACTGCCAGGCAGCAGGGAATTGGCAGACTTTAGTAATCAGTTTCTTTTTGTTTGCTGCCCTCTGCGGTTGAAGCTGTAAATTAAAGTGGACTTTGCTGCTTTACATACTTTGTAATAGTCTAATTTTATTTGCACCTACTGCAGGAGAAGAAATTAAAACTTAGAAACTAGGTAAAATATATTATTTCTAGCTTTTTTTTTTTTTTTTTTTACCAGCAGAAACACAAGGGGGTTTTTTTATGCTTGCAGCGAATTGCAAGAGTATTGCAAGTTGAAAAGGGAGGCAACTCCCATTCTCATTTTTATCTCCTTGGCTGGCTTGGGGGAGCCAGGTTGACCTGTCAGTGTGTTCTGCCTCCCTGCAAGGAGGGATGTGTTTCCACCACTGTGTAGGTGTGGGGCTGCTGCTCTTCAGGGCACCTTGAGGCTCACAAGGTAATGTCAGTAGGCCAGGACTTCTAGGGCCAAAAGCTC